GTGGTGGGCAATCCCTCCAGCGATGAAAAATGATAGAGGCGTTGTTAGTAGTAAGTAAGGACTTGTCCCTTGCTTTTTATTCAACGCGTGTGCAGTGATGGTGCAGACATCGATCGAGGTGTCGAATTGGAACCGCGTTGTGTGATCGGCATCGCGCTCGCTGAAGGTGTCGATGCCTTCAGGGAAGTCGTGGACTCTGTATCATCAACTGCGCACAATTCTGTGAGTCGCTTATAACTGCTTTGCCGTTATTTATTGCCAATTATGGATTCAGACTATTGTCCTATCATCTCATAGAGTCCCTGGTACGTAATAATATGCTATACTGTGGCAGTCGCAAAATGCCGATTTATTACTAATAAACCCCAATGATTCGATCGAAATTAGGGATTTGGATCGAATTATTGGGGGAGGGGGGGGGGCACTTGCCACCCCACCCCCCCACACTGGGTCCGCCAGTGTGAACACCCATAGAGTGGGTACCTAGGGGTGCTCCGGTGTCCAGACGTTAACCACCTCCCCTCGTATGGGTTCGATCGTGGGTTCGATCCCGACCCTGACGCCTGCTGCTGCTGTATATTTGGAGTGTGCGTGTCTCTCTCTCATCATCATCACGGTGGCTAGGAGATGTTAACTACCTCGCCTGGTATACAGGAGGTCGTGGGTTCAATCCCGACCCTGACGCCTGCTGCTGTATATTTGGAGTTTGCGTGTCTCTCATCATCATCATCATCACGGTGACTAGGAGATGTTAACTACCTCGCCTGGTGTACAGGAGGTCGTGGGTTCGATCCCGACCCTGACGCCTGCTGCTGTATATTTGGAGTTTGCGTGTCTCTCTCCCCGTGGTCGCGTGGACTTTTCTCTGGACACTTTATCCCCTCCACATGTAGAATCGAGGTGCGTTTAGAGTTGTTGGTTGCTGCTGCTGCTGCTGTAAATTTCCACGCGAAGAGAAGCCACTTCGTGTGAGCTAACATTTGTGGCCAGGTCGCTTCTGAAAAACGACCTGGTATAGATCAGTGGGCCTTACTTGGTAAAAAAATAATAGTTTATAGTTCAGTTTGAGTTTTTGGAAGCACTGCTCTCCTCGAGTTCATCTCTAGATCCTCCTCTAGTGGAGGCCCATCCACCAACAGTGACATTGAGTGAGAAATTGCAGGGCTGCGCCTTCCCCCCTCTCTTAATGATACGAGAAGTTGTACTCGTGCAGGGAGCATGAGTGAAGTTATTTTTTTTTTCAATGTCATTTCCAACCAGCGTGGAGCTGTTATCGCAAGCAAACACACGCACACGCGCAGGAAAACATAGTTTGATCCGTGACTGAAAACGCGAAAGGCATTACATGTAAATGAGACAATGAACCTCATGACATTAGCAGACACAACAGCAGCTGTCAATCATAGTAATCATGTCTCCATGGGATTTGTGCCAGGCTAGGTGCACTTCAGTGGCCATGTGGACACACAGCCATCTTATTGCAAATACTGCTATGATACAAAGAAATGTGTGATAGCAAAATAACGGGCAAAGGTCCTCCATATAACCTGCAGCCGACTGTTGGGGCAAGTGCTGTTAAGCGGCGCACGAGGGGGTGGTCAACACCATGTCAAGTGGCGGTGTTTACTACACACCGCACCAAGTATTCATTTGAGGCTGAGTCGACCTAGGGGAGGCCCAGGACCGGTTCAGATAATCGCCACTGGTGTTGGCCATGAGCGGGAATCGAACTCGGGTCGCTGGGTTCATGGCACAATGCGCCAACCATTGCACCACCGCTCCCCACCCATACACGCACACAAAACAAAGACAAGATCCCCTGTATGGCCTGAACAGACTGTTGGGACAGGTGCTGTGAGCGAGCACCTCTGAAAGCCAGCACGGCACACGAGTGGATGGCCAGAACCGCACCCATTGCCTCCCCAGTGGCCACAATATTATTACACACCGCACCAGGTACTGTTTTGAGGCTCAGTCGACCTAGGGGAGGCCCAGGACCGGTTCAGATAATCGTCACTGCTGCTGACCGTGAGCGGGAATCGAACCCGGGTCGCCAGGTTTGTAGCTCAGCGCGCTAACCACTACACTACCGCTCCCCACACACATAAACACACATATACCCGCAGGCTACAGCTTTTAAGCCAATTCTGCGCATCAGGTAGTGCATGAAAAATAACACACGCACACACACACACCTGTAGCACGGGGCACGCTGGGACATGCAGATTACATTTTCACCCACAAATGTGAGTTTGTTTATATCGACCTCGCAGTGCTGTTGTCTTTGCACGCACATGCCAAGGCACACAAACAGTGAGGGAAAAAAAGTATTTGATCCCCTGCTGATTTTGTACGTTTGCCCACTGACAAAGAAATGATCAGTCTATAATTTTAATGGTAGGTTTATTTGAACAGTGAGAGACAGAATAACAACAACAAAATCCAGAAAAAACGCATGTCAAAAATTTTATAAATTTATTTGCATTTTAATGAGGGAAATAAGTGTTTTTTTTAATACAGGTAACGAGCTGAGATTAGGAGCACACTCTTAAAGGGAGTGCTCCTAATCTCAGCTTGTTATCTGTATAAAAGACACCTGTCCGCAGAAGCAATAAATCAGATTCCAAACTCTCCACCATGGCCAAGACCAAAGAGCTCTCCAAGGATGTCAGGGACAAGATTGTAGACCTACACAAGGCTGGAATGGGCTACAAGACCATTGCCAAGCAGCTTGATGAAGTGACAACCGTTGGTGCGATTATGCACAAATGGAAGAAACACAAAATAACTGTTAATCTCCCTCGGCCTGGGGCTCCATGCAAGATCTCACCTCGTGGAGTTGCAATGGTCATGAGAACGGTGAGGAATCAGCCCAGAAGTACACGGGAGGATCTTGTCAATTATCTCAAGGCAGCTGGGACCATAGTCACCAAGAAAACAATTGGTAACACACTACGCCGTGAAGGACTGAAATCCTGCAGCGCCCGCAAGGTCCCCCTGCTCAAGAAAGGACATATACATGCCCGTCTGAAGTTTGCCAATGAACATCTGAATGATTCAGAGGACAACTGGGTGAAAGTGTTGTGGTCAGATGAGACCAAAATGGAGCTCTTTGCCATCAACTCAACTCGTCGTGTTTGGAGGAGGAGGAATGCTGCCTATGACCCCAAGAACACCATCCCCACCATCAATCATGGAGGTGGAAAAATTATGCTTTGGGGGTGTTTTTCTGCTAAGGGGACATGACAACTTCACCGCATCAAAGGGACGATGGACGGGGCCATGTACCGTCAAATCTTGGGTGAGAACCTCCTTCCCTCAGCCAGGGCATTGAAAATGGGTCGTGGATGGGTATTCCAGCATGACAATGACCCAAAACACACGGCCAAGGCAACAAAGGAGTGGCTCAAGAAGAAGCACATTAAGGTCCTGGAGTGGCCTAGCCAGTCTCCAGACCTTAATCCTATAGAAAATCTGTGGAGGGAGCTGAAGGTTCGAGTTGCCAAACGTCAGCCTCGAAACCTTAATGACTTGGAGAAGATCTGCAAAGAGGAGTGGGACAAAATCCCTCCTGAGATGTGTGCAAACCTGGTGGCCAACTACAAGAAACGTCTGACCTCTGTGATTGCCAACAAGGGTTTTGCCACCAAGTACTAAGTCATGTTTTGCAGAGGGGTCAAAAACTTATTTCCCTCATTAAAATGCAAATCAATTTATAACATTTTTGACATGCATTTTTCTGGATTTTTTGTTGTTATTCTGTCTCTCACTGTTCAAATAAACCTACCATTAAAATTATAGACTGATCATTTCTTTGTCAGTGGGCAAACGTACAAAATCATCAGGGGATCAAATACTTTTTTCCCTCACTGTACGTTCACGAGATGCATAAAAATAACTTAAGCCACCGGGCACACATTTAAACAAATTCCGTTGCATTTCGATGCGGGAGGGGGGGGGCGGGGAGAAGCCGAAACGTCTGTGGGTAAAACACACGAGAGACATCTTCCCCTTTGCTGATCAACCAAACTTGCTCCGCAGGTGCGCGTTACGCAGGTGCGCGTTACGCAGGGCAATCGGACCACGAGCGAGGGGCAGGTTTATATAAAAAAAAATAGAAAAATCCCCCGTGTAGCCTTAGCAGACTGTTGGGGGAAGTGCTGTCAGCCAGCACCTACGATTGACGGCACTGTGGCACGCGAGGGGGCGGGTGGCCAACACCACACCAGGTGCTCATTTGAGGCTGAGTCGACCTAGGAGAGGCCCAAGACCGGTTCAGATAAAATCGTCACCGCTGTCGGCCGTGAGCGGGAATCGGTCGCCGGGTTCGTAGCGCGGCGCACGCTAACCGCTGCGCCACCGCTCCCCCCCACCACTGCCACCACTACCAACAACAACAATAGCACAACCGCTTGCATTGCAGAGGCGGTGAATACCTCTGGTGCATAACGACGCCTCGGCCGATGGGTTTGGGTTGAGATAAGACAAATCACACGGACAGCGGAGCGCGCAGTTATTTTGTGTGAGCGAAATCAACCATCAGCGGACCCTGTAGCGTGGTGGGGCTGAGCCTCCCCTGATAGATTCTCACATTCAAGTCCAAAATACGTTCGGTAAAATATTTAACAGCAGTGACAATTCAGCTACGGAGCGTCGTAGCCTCTCTGTGTTTATATATACACACACACACAAGGAGAGAGGGTAATAAGAGATCGACTTCTCGAGCTAAATCTATAGCAGACACCAACAAAGAAGACCGTCTCGTTACCAATTCTGCGGTTGTAAGTTTTTTTTTTAGCATTTGCTTAAAGTTTGCTTTACATCCACTGCGTTGCGCCTCCCACCCCGAGTTATTTCTTTTGTATGCCCGCTACACCCCCCCCCTACCACACCCAGCCACCACCTCTCTCCCCTCCGCGTCTGCCGGCACCCCTTGAAAAGAGTTCGCGCGACAGGGCCGAATGTGAAGAGGACGAGCGGGAGGGGAAAAGTCATCTCACCTGGAGGACATAAGCGGCGAGTTCGAACGTCGTGTCGCTGTCCACCTCTGTGTTTCCCTGGCTCAGAGGGGAGAGAGAGAGAGATGCGCACACACGCACACACACACACGCGCGCACACACGCGTGAGTATGAACGCACGAACGCACGCGCGCACGAGCGATCGCGGGGCAGGGCTATCTGTGGCAGGCAACCGAAGCCCCAGTGCACATGCGGAGAGAGACAACCACCACCACCACCAACATAACCACCCCACTGCTCTGCAGTGAAGGAATGTACCACTGCTCAGAAAACACCGAGGGTGGAATGGACTGGAATGATGCGGTGGTTTAGCGGTGGTCGTTTTCAAAGTGAGTCCCTGTGCCTTGTTTTTTTTTGCCCAGAAATTGTGCACCAACTACGGCTCTCTTTCCGACATCGCCACTCGCAACAACAGCTGTTAATCGTATCGGCGAATCGTCCGGATCGGCGGGGAATGTTCTTTAAAACTTACAAAGGTGTAGACTTTGGGGGGAGGGTGGGGAATATTTTTTTTGTAATGCACAAAAACCCTGGTGGCGCTTTAACAGTGGGCTGGTCTGAACCAGTCACTGGCCAGCACGGTATATGTTTTTTTTTAGCAAACACTTCGTTCACCCTCAGGGAGGGATTGACAAAGAATATCTGTGCAAGATTTTTTTTCTTAAGACGGGTGTGGGGGTGGCAGGGGGAAGGAAAATTTTCCCGAATAAAATGTCTCGCGCGGAGAAACTTTAATCCTTTTTTTTGTACTCCTCTCTCAACTTATCCACAACGCAGGTGTTTTGGGTTAGATCGCGTAAATTTCTGTGTCGTTAAACCCACCACCACCACCACCCGACACAGCCGACTAGTAAGGGTTGTCACGTAAACAGAACGTGGCCAATTCGTCACTACTACAGCACTAACCGCTGTGTTGGAGAGCCAAGCCACAACATTTACAATCCGAGTACGACGTTTCGCCAGTAATTACAAGTAGCTTCATCAGACGACGCCAGAGTTGCGGAAAAATGCTCCTGTTTCGTTCCTTAAATAGAGGCGTAGATGTGATGAAGCCGACGTGTTGGACGTCTCTCGCTTAGTTCCAACAAAATACTGCTACGTAGGAGAAAAAAATAAATCAGGTTGTGTTTACAAACATAATGCATTGCAGGGGTGGTGGTGGTGGGGGGGTGCTTTTATGTATCTATTTTGTTTCACCACACGTAAATGCTCGAATTATTTCAAAACAGCAGCGGTGGGGTGTAGCAGGCACGCGTGCGTCGTGCCAAATGGTGGCAGAGTAAGGACGGGGAGCCTTTTCCCCAACAATATTTAAAAAAAATATTTTGAAACAAGCTCTCTCGAGTGTTTTTTTTTGCGGACAACGAGAGTTGACGTCGTTCAATCAAAACGAAGCGATGCGTTCAACGCCTTCACACGCGAACGATCATCACATTATTTTTTTTGCCTTGAAAGTGATCCTTTCTGAGTGCAAATTAACACGTTTCGACCCCGCCAGATTCCACCACAACTGTCAGCGTGCCCAGCAGGATGACTCCGCTGTGTGTGACGCAGCTCGTACCGGTCTAACCTGCTTTGTAATTTTTTTAAAAGAACTTACACACAGCCTACACATACACACCGCACACACACACTCTACATACCACACGCACTCCACACACGCACTCCACGCTCCACACACACACACTCCACACACCCACACCACACACCCACACCACACACACACTTCACACACACACATACCACACACACACACACCACACACACACTCCACACACACACACTCCACACACACACACACTCCACACACACACACTCCACACACGCACTCCACGCTCCACACACTCCACGCTCCACACACACTCCACACACCACACAAACGCACTCCACGCTCCACACACACACACACTCCACACACGCACTCTCCACACAATCCACACACCACACACACACTCCACACACCACACAAACGCACTCCACGCTCCACACACACACACTCCACACACACACCACACACACACTCCACACACACACTCCACACACACACACTCCACACACACACACTCCACACACAATCCACACACACTCCACACACACACACTCCACACACAATCCACACACACTCCACACAAACACACACGACCCCTACCACCCATACTCACCACACGCCACACACATTCCAAACACCACACACTCCACACACACCACACACACACTACTCCCACCACAACCACCACACCAACCACACAGACACACACCACGCCCCACACAGCCACCACACCCCACACACCAACCACACCCCACACACCAACCACACCCCACACACCCACCACACCCCGCACACCCACCACACCCCACACACATTCCAAATACCACACACTCCACACCCCACACACTCAACACACCCCACACAGCCACCACACCCCACACAGCAACCACACCCCACACAGCAACCACACCCCACACACCAACCACACCCCACACACCAACCACACCCCACACAGCCACCACACCAACCACACACCCACCACACACCAACCACACCCCACACACCAACCACACCCCACACACCAACCACACCCCACACACCCACCACCCCCACACACCCACCACACCCCACACACGCACCACACCCCACACACGCACCACACCCGACACACCAACCACACCCCACATACCCCACACAGCCACCACACCCCACACACCAACCATATCCCACACACCTACCACCACCACCACGACCACCACACCCCACACACCCCACACACCCACACAGACCTCACCACACCCACCACACAGCCACCACACCCCACACCCCACACACCAACCACACCCCACACACACCCCACACACACACCCCACACACACACCACACACACACCCCACACACACACCACACACACACACCACACACACACCCCCCCACACACCCCCCCCCCCCACACAAACACACTCCACACACAACAAGCCCTGTTGCGGGTTATCTTCCCTATCGAACACCAATAAAGTCAGACACAATGCATAATCAAAAGAAACAATGAACAGTACCGTGAATAAAACAACAGTCTGGGTATTTGTATAAATCGCACTAATCAATGTGTCATTACGTTGTCATGTATCTGTTAGGACTCGAACCATGGTCCCAAACCCCGCAAGGCACCGAGAGAGCCAGTGGCGACCTGGCTGACTCACAATCACAATCGCACATCGCGTAATGCAGCCTTTGCGTAACTCGTTCATGAACAACAACAACAACACAAAATGCAGATCATACTAATGTGCTGCAAATCTATTCCACGGGCAGAGAGAGAGAGAGAGAGTTGCGCGATTTCATTGCGACACGCAAGCGAAAAAGCCGCCGAGGCCAACCGCTCGCACGAAGCGCGAACCACCGGGCGAGGACGGCACCCCCGTCGCACAACCAGCCTAAGCAGCCGTAGGGGTTGGTGGATCACGAAGACGCGATCATCTCTGCGCGTGTTGAAGGCGCGCAACAGAACGTGAAGGGTCCCCACCATCTGCGCAGCGAGTCGGTGGTCGTTCCTCTCTGCACGGGACATTTCAAAAATCGGGATCTCGATTTGAGACTGGAGGAATCCGATGAGCTATGAAGCGCTCACCCCCCCACCCACCCCCACCCACACCCACACATGTCCAGTGTGCAATCTGTCTCCGTCGCTTCATATTTGCTGTGCCGATAGTACCCCCAACGGGAAATTGGCCGCGCGTTTGCTGCGATCACCTCCGCAGGGGGAGTGCGTGGACAAGTCACGCTCCGGAAGCGTCGCAATTGCGGTTCGCGATGCGATCGGAGAATAGATGGCGTGCTCCCCTGCCCCATGTCAACTGTGACGATCATTTACGGCGCGCGTCCTCGTGTGTATCGGCCTCCTCTGGTCCGTTCCATCTCGGCTCTGCTATCGTTTCTGCGTCATCTCCTTCGTCTCCTTCTTGGTCGCCGATTGGCCCGCTGTGCATTGCCCCCGTCTCCGACCGCTCATTCTCATTTCCTCCGTAATCTCTGAATATCTACTTCGCTGCATGATATGCAAATGTCACGCGGAATCCGTCGTCCCGGAGAATGGCACTTCGCTGTTAAGGCGATGCGTGCCTACTAGACGTACGCATGTTGGATTTCTTCCGCACCGTACGTGGCCAACCATGCCGAACGAAGGCGCGGAGGAAGGCCAACTGGGGAGGAGGAGCGTTCCAGACGGTCGCAGAAGTGCATCTGAAAGTGCGCGAAGCAGTGACCATGTCGTTTTGCGATGGCTGTACCTGTGTTAATAAGTCGAGTGTAACCTGCACAGTGTAACCTGTACTTATTCAACAGGCATAGATACCGTGGCAGTGTTTTATAATCACGACGCTTGTAGGAACGGGATTCATATAGAAGCAACAATTAGAATCAAATCGGAATGACGCAATCGAGCGGGGCGAGTGAGGCTGTGGCGGGCACTGGATTCCATCGACGTGCCATGAAAAAGACCCATTGCCCGAAACGTCACCTATCATGTGATATCTTCTTTTTCAGGCCACAGTGTTGTTAATTGACAAACGCATTGCAATGTTTTGTCGTTGTCCTCGCTTGCGCACCACTGCCAACGCAGCAGGGTCATCATCATCATCACAAATATAATGTCTTTAGTAATCCGATCAGGTCGATGTGATTATATTATGCTCGAAGATGCATTTATATTGGCGACGCTGAGAGAGAGAGAGAGTAGGTGAGAAATTACACGTTCCCATGACAGGGGTGAGTCTATTCGCGAGATGTTTCCTTAAAACAGGAGCGGGTTACATGGAATAAATACAAATGTCCACGATAAGCTCAAACGAAACGAATCGAGGCGCACACAAAGAAACACAACGCAGCGTTCAGTCACTCACGCACGCACGAGAGGTGACATTCATGACGAACGCGACATTTACTGGGGAATAAAGTGACGAGCGAAATAAAAACAAATCACCAAAACCTTCAGTAACATGACCGAGTGACTCGGGGGTGGGGGGACGTGAATGCATTGGGGCCGAGCGAGTACTTTCTGAGACTCGCCGTCGAATCCTCGTGGCAGATAAAATGTTGATGATGAGAGACACGCCAATTCTAAATATACAGCAGCAGGCGTCAGGGTCGGGATCGAACCCACGACCTCCTGTACCCCAGGCGAGGCAGTTAACATCTCACCACCACTCAATGTTTCAAGACTCGCAATGCACGATGGTGAATACGGAGACGGGGGGGTCCTTCATAAATAACGGTCACGAAGCGGTCCTTCAAGAGCCGCGCGTGGCTTCGAAGCCGCAGGTTGCCGACCCCTGGGCTGAGCGATCCGATTTGAGTTCGAAAGCAGCGTTGTGGAAGTTCCCACCTGCAGCTGGTGTCTGCTGAAGGCCATCACAAACGCACAACAGGGGCGTGCGTGCGCGCGTGCTTTAATTAACACCAACACTAACACCTGGTGTAGGGAATTTGTTCGGGCACAAACCGCCACGTCGCACCGCAGGGCAGTGCGGAACTTCCGCAGGCAGCAGGCATTGACATCTGTCGGAGTGTTATGGGCTTACACACAAGAGGCGGCCGTGTACCGTGGACAGGGGGGCATTTTTTTTGTTGTTGTTGGCGTGTTCTTTCTAACGAACGTCGTAGGAAAGAAAAGAAAAAAAACATCGATTTAAAGCTTTCGTGACTGCAATGATTCATCTTCTTTGGTTCTTTCGGTAAAGTCACCGCGTAGAATGAGAATAAAATAATAAATTGATCAAATAAAATAACACAATAATATTCTCACGACGTTTCGGCCACAACACAAGCGGCCTTCATCAGGCAGTCTCGCCCCTTCACCTGATGAAGGCCGCTTGTGTTGTGGCCGAAACGTCGTGAGAATATTATTGTGTTATTTTATTTTATCAATTTATTATTTTATTCTCATTCTACGTGACTTTACCGAAAGAACCAAAGAAGAAAAAAAACATCATTACGGACGTTCCCATGTTAACGCCTCCAAGAAAGAATTCCAAACTGGAGCGAAGAATCCTATTGTTGCGTTTCTTTTTCCGACTCTAGTTCGTCGTTATTAATGGTATATTGATTTTTTTTGTGGGGAAATGTGTGTTAAATGTGTGTTTGAAATTACTTCATAGATGCCCTAAAACACAACATAAATGTGCACGTTTCTTTTCTGTTCACGCAACACAATCTTCACTGGCGTGATACATTGCTCACTTTATTTAACAATATCGCAATGGTCTATTTTTGTTAATTAAGACCTGGTGATCTCTGTTTACTGACCCTGGGCCTGTGGCAAAACAATTCCACTTTTCCCTGGTTTGCACCATTATGTGTGCATGTTGAACTTCTTTCGCACCGTACGTCGTCAACCGTGCTAATCGGAGGTGGGGAGGGGGGCAACAAACCATTTCCTCCGTAGGTCAACGGCTGCTGACGCTTTCACAAAATGGTATCTATTTTATCGAGCCTGGGAAGGGATGATGGGCTGAGGCAAATGAAAAACAAAATGAATTCAGATTGCAAAACGTCACAAAAGGTACAAATGCAAGGGCTACTCAACGTGAAAAGTATAGGCTGTCAGTGGTCAGAGCATGAAATGCATCTTACACGCCACTTCATGCCTTGTCTCAAAGCACTTATGCCGCAATTGATGCAGCATGTGCCCATGCACCCCCTTAGCCAATCTCTGGAATGCCCCGGAATCTTCACGCTGTAACCCGTCATTTTTTTCTGCACATGCTTTCCGTACGCACCGTCATGATCTCGTCCGTGAGCAAATCTCACCTCTTCCAAATTGAAAACTCGTTTCTTCAGAACTTCTTTTTGCATTTTACGCTTGCCGTCCTTCCCACCGTGCCTCCGGTTAGCACGGTTGGCCAAGTGCGGTGCGAAAAAAGTTCAACATACGTACGTACAATGTAAACGGCTTGTTGGCCAGCCTCGGTGCACCGTGGGAGCCCTCATATCTGCGTGAACTCTGAACCCAGCACACCGCGAAGCCTTAAGCCGATGCATTCATCTTGCCGGCGAGTCTTCAAAGTGACCTCGAGCTGACACTTGACTCGGCAGGAGGATGAAAATCCCACCCTCACAATGATGGCGTGCACGCATATTATGTGCCACTGCATACATGCAATTAATCTTTGTTCTTAGAATAACGACAGATGCTGGAGGAGGGCTTGTTCATGCCCCCAGTGCGAACATTTCGTAATCAGAGCGGCTTCTCAGTGGCTTGCGGCACAGGACAGCTCTCTAGGCAGAAAATAAAAGGCTCCAAAGTGCAAGGTTGAGAGTTCATATTTGGGTCAGGGATGGCTCGACTCAGCATTATTTAACCTAGACCCATCAAGATAAGAACCACCTGGCCAGCAGTGCTTAGTGTGTGTGTATATATGTGTGTGTGTGAAAAAAACTAGTTCTTGCCATAGCCATGTGGAATTTCCACATTTTAATTCTGCAGCCTGCTAAGGTCGATAATTAACATGGGGTGGCACCTTTTTTTTTGCGAAGTCAACAGCAGTCATCTTACGGAGAGACTGGACCCCACCATAGGAATGTGGAATTGTAATGCTTGGACTTATTGAGACGTGGCTCTCCATATTTTATACTTTTCATAAAACAATACCGAATGTTCTTCGTATTTTTCTGGGAACTTCTCTAAATTATCCACAAGAGGTTTTTTTTTTTTGTTAGATCGCGTAAATATGAACGTGTCGTTATACCCAGCACCACGCGACACGGTTTACTCTCCAACACACCGGTGTGCTGTACTAGTAAAGAATTTGCATGTTTTGGCCGTGTCAGATGGTTGCAGGTTTAACGAAACATTTATATTTACGCGAGCTAACCCAAAAGCCCTCCATTATAGAAAATTGAGAGAACTTCCGGGAAAAAGACGAAGTACATTTGTTTTCTTGAATAATGATAAGGCAATTCAAATTTGCGGACGTAACGGCCGCAACTCAGAGGCGCGGAGCCAAGCTCAGAGTCACTCGAAAGCGTGGTTGTAGAGGTGAGTTTTTAAAGTGACTCTTGAAGGAGACGATTGAGGCGATGCTGCGAATGTGCAGAGGGGATGGCGCTCCAGACTGTTGGGGCAGCCACCGAGAAACGGCGCATAGACGTGACCGTCCTGGATCTTGGTATCGAGAGGAGGTCGTGAGTCGCACTGCGCAGGCATCTGCCACGTGCTGAGCTGCAAGTCGTCAATAGTGAAGAGAGAGGTACGGGGGGCAGGCAGATGTGAAGGCACGTGGTGGCAGTGGCAGGCGATCTTGTATGTGGCCCTGCTGGCAATTGGTAGCCAGTGAAGGGCACGGAGAGAGAGGCAAGTGAGTCGAGACGGGGATGAGCCAAATACTCGAAACGCGTGATGTCGATTCTAAATGTGGAGGGAAAAACTGGAGGACCCGGAGAAAAATCCACGTGACCACGCGGAGAGAGCCATGCAAACTCCAAATATCCACCAGGCGTCAGAGTCAGGATCAAAGCCACGACCTCGTGGGTACCAGGCGAGGTAGTTAACATCTCGCCACCGTGGCACTCAGAAGATTCCACACCGGTGAGGCAGAGGTGGTCAGGACCGGTGCCGATTGCACCTCCTTGCTGGAATGCTGTGCCAGTCGAGGTGTAATGGACAGCATGCAGCGTGACGAACTCAGCGACCTGAGTTCGATTTCCGCTCATGGCCAACACCAGTAGGCCTCCCCTAGGTCGACTCAGCCTCAAATGAGTACCTGGTGCTGTGTGTAAACATCGCCACTGGAGAGACAAAGGCGGTTGGGCAAGGTGCTGCCCACCCCCCCTCCCCATCGTGTACTGTGATGGCCCTAACAGCGGTTGCCCCAAAATTCTGTCAAGGCATTACAAAACAATTTAAGAGGAGGGAGTGATCCATGAAAACTTAAATTTCAATTTCCATGTGCATCGTGAGTGACACCTTCATGCGCATTCGCATACACGACTGACAACACCTCTGTGTTGTCAGCCTTGTTATCGCTGCTCGTTAAAAGCACTTTCCCCAACAGTCTACACGGAGTACCTATTTGTCTGCAGATATCTCCAAATATCTCAACCCACCCTCACCCCCCCCCAACACGCACACTCACACGGTATAAATATGTAAATTGAGAAGAGATATATGATTGCGGGATTGATTTTTACGGGGTAAAAAGTGGGTAGCCCTCTGAATCCGCCTCCCCCGGCCCTCTCCCAACCCCCCTGGGTAAGGCACATCCTACATCGTCCCCTCCCTCTGTGGTCTTACCGAAGCAACGCAAGCCTTGGCGTTGAGGAAGAACTGGCGGATGGTAGCGCTGTCCTTCAGGAAGGCAATGCTCTCTATGTAGAACCTGCAGAGAGAAGACAAAGACAAAGACATCCCTTATAGCCTGAACAGACTCTTTGGGGCAAGTGCTTTTTCGCGAGTAGTGACTGATGAAGGCCGGCACGGTACACGAGTGGGTGCGGTGGCCAACAACACGCCCGGCCGCCTTTGTCGCCCCAGTGACGATGTTGACTACACACCGCACCAGGTATTAATTTGAGGCTGAGTCGAACTAGGGGAGGCCCACGACCGGTTCAGATAATCGTCACCGGGTGTTGGTGGCTGCGAGCGGGAATCGAACTCGGGTCGCCGGGTTCGCAGCGCAGCGTAGCGCTAACCGCTACACCACCGCTCCACACACAGAGAGGGAGAGAGAGAGAAAACAGAACACACACACAATATACATAGCCCTGAACAAAAAAAACCGATCCCCCAAACCCAGTGTAGCAACACGGGCTGGCACAGCAGAGCACAGCGGGGTGGGGTACGGCTAATGTCACCGTCGGGCCTGACCCGCTGCTGTTCCTCCTCACCGGTGCCGACGTGACACATCACACCGGGCACTCGTTTAAGGCCAAGGATAAAGCTGTCTGGACAGCGTGAGACCGATCGTCACCGACAGTCGGCTTTGGCTCAGGAATCCAAAGTCAGACGACCGAGGTTCAGAGAGCGTGTTGCACTCACCGCAGTATACACTACAATGCACACTACATGCTACGCTATACACTACACTGTACACTAATATACACTACACTATGACACACTACGCTACTATATACTACACCACTATACTACATTTAAAATACATTTCTTCAAAACAGTTTTTTTTGTGTTTAGTTTGTTGTCCTTCCCCCGCACCACCAATTAGCACGGTTGGCTACGTACGGTGCGAAAGAAGTTCCACATACATACATACAAATCTACACACACGCACACAAATAAACGCTCAATAAAAAAGGGACTGGCTAAGCATCGCAATATAAGATTCTCCTAAGAAAAGATGATTGAGAATTCGGCAAGGGCTTTCCTGGATAAATAAGTCCCAAGTTTCTCCAATGCAGTCCACGTGTGTACACAACACAATAACATTAGCCATGAACACAGCCATCCCAGGAATGCTGATAGCCATCGGTCCTACTGCTACACCGAGCCATGGAAAGAGGCTGTTCCGTTTTACAGCCCCACTTTAAAAAATGTCATCGCATACATTTCCTCTTCACCAATATCCGGCTTTATGTATTTTGCATCGCGTCGCGTCGAACTAGGGTTCCGCATCTAACAGAGATGGGGCTTTGCCTTTAAAATGCCTGGCAGTTCACCAGCATTGCTTGAAGCCAAGCCTGACTGCGGATGAGACACTTGACTGATGAGACGCAAAACCGGTGCGGAGTTTTGCTTGTGTCGAACAAATGCTGCCGAAAAAATTATCACCCCCAGAAGGCCGTGTCAGCTCATGGGATTTTTACCAAAATATACTTTTCAATACATGTACATTGTACGTGGAGTACCAGATACGGGAATGTGTATATTGTGTCCGTATCGAGCAGCGTTCTTCACGATCGCCGCCTTTAGACACCAGCGCGAAGGCCGCCACACATTTGAAACCATTGGGGGTTTGACAGCAGCACGATGATGATGATGGGGGGGGGGGGTGGGGGGTTGTTGTCACGTGTCGTTTGTTGTCAGGGACCCCACAATAAAGGCCACCATGGGCCACCAACGTCCCGTGGGCCTTTCAATGTAAAAAAAACACTGGTCAAGAGCATTGCATTGCGGTTGTACTGGTAAACCATGTATAAAAAGGCCTTGCGTGAGACAGGATTGTGTGTGGTCACCAGTGAATACATTTTTTTTGTAAGATAGAAATGCATGATTATAATGAACCAGCGCGTTGATAAATGTATTTCGTATTCAGTTGACACACAAGCATCGTCCATGCCATGAGCACGGTTGGCTACGTACGGCGTGAAAGAAGTCCAACATACGGTGCATACCGTACACGACGAGCAAAAGTTAGTGTTCAATGCTCGTATTATGGCAATGACTGAAAAAATAAACCCTCCAACCTTCATTTCTCCTACAACAACACCCACATTTTACTTCACATCGCATTTCACTCGTGTCGATGGCTGCAACCATTAAACGCAAACCCGCAAAACAATTTGGGTCGCTCGATTGAAATGGAACGAAAGGACGCGGGGCTCTTTCGAGACGAAACGTAATCTCGAACCGGCGCGGCACAACAGCGGGGCCCGGCAAAAAGTTTGTTCACATTTCAAGTTGCCCTCGTGGATGTCACGAGCTCCATATATATTTTTTGTTTGTTTGTTTCGTGAACATTGGGATGCTTCAGTGGCCAATGGTGCCCTCACGTCGGCCAGCGCGCATTGCTTTTTTTCTGAGCGAGATATCTAGGCGGGGGGGGGGGGGTGAACTCGGCTCGAACGTGGCAACGCCATTTGCCCCCCCTCGCCCCCCCCCCCACCCCCCATGGCACGACACCGACCCCCCCTATCTCTCTAAACCTCGCCGGGCATGTCATCTGTTACGAGAGTAAAAAAGAATCAGGATGCCTGTTGCAATGCATCTGGGTAATACAGCCTGGATAATATATATACTTGGGTGCCACGGTGGCGAGATGTTAACTACGTCGCATGGTATGCAGGAGGTCCTGGGTTTGATCCTGACGCCTGCTCTGTATTTAGAATCAGCATGTTCTCCCCATGGTCGTGTGTGTTTTTTTTCCCTCCGGATTTTCTCTCCCAATTTAGAATCAACGTGCGTTTAGAGTATTTGGCTCCAATAAATGTGTAGTGACATAGTGGTACACGTGATCGGCCACTTCACTGAGCTATTATTTGTGGCCAGGTCGCTTCTGAAAAAGAGCTACAGCATCTAGCTCAGTGGGCCTTACCTGGTAAAATAAAACAAATAGTTTTCAATAGTAAAAAAAAACACATCTACAGGCCAAGGTGCAAACGTTGCCCTTGGTTGGCTACGTACGGTGTGGAAGAAGCTCAACAGGCGATCATACAAAGCCCCGCAAGTGCCTTCGCTCGTGCGACTTATGACAGACGGGGGCTCCGCTGCTAGACGTAGCGATATTCTGCCACGCTGCTGTGATAACTTTTAGAAGAGGTGGGAATTCCCGCACTTGATCCCACCACACGCGACCCCCACCCTTGGCCTGACTGCGGCGTACTACCTTACGCTGCTGGGTGGCGGGAGGCGCTGGGGGTCTAAGGAACGTGCCCAGCGCTTGAACCGCTGCAGCGGGAGATCAAATCTAAACTGGGCGACGTCTCGATCGCAAGTTCAGTGTGCTCACCGGTGCGCCAGAGAGGGGGAAAAAAAACAATAATAAAACATTGAAAATCTATTGCTTTTGCGTGGAGATGAAGAACAGTGGGCCCTTTTTTTGTCATTTCCCAGAATCCTCCGCAACATCGGATAAGCGAGCGACAAAGGGGAAGACCTAAAGCAAGAGCAGACCTGAAGCGCGTAGGTGTGGAACCTGCAACAGCCACAGAGGATTGATCACACAGGAGGAAGGAGGCGGCGGTGAGGTGTGGTGGTATCAGTTCATCAGAATTTTAAGAATTTCAACGTGCAACGCACGCACGGTTCACTCACCCTCGGACTCCGCGGCACGAGGAACCAGAGGCAAGCCGGAAGGCGTTAGCCAGGCAGTGAGTCGGCGCTACCAACAATTGCTCAATATCTGCAGTCCTCTGTATGTTGAGATGTTTTTCAGCCAATCGCACTCTTAACACACAAAGTGCTTGCCACAAATGAACCACAATACTTTGCTGATTCTCGTCTAGGAGCATGAACCATCATGCTTACTCTGGTCATCCTTGCAGCGGGGAATTTTGGCGAACCATTGAACAAAGACGGGCACCGCATCGCGCACTTTCAGATGCGCTTCTGCAGCCGTCTGGAACGCTCTTCCTTCCGACATTGCAAAGCCACTGGAGCCATGCACTTTTAAATCTAGATTTACAATTAATTTCTTTAGAACCGCTTGTTGTGTTTAGTTTGTTGTTCTTCCCCCGCACCTCCAATTAGCACGGTTGGCTCCGTACGGTGAAAAGAAGTTAAACATACACGTAAGAATAAACGAGGAACAGCTAATTGAGCTAAAAATAGCACGAAGAACATCTGCCACAACTCTGGGTTACTGTTGTCAGGTTGCAGCCAGAAATGGGAACTAAATAGAAATATTCGCTAATTCACCAACTCTAAAATTGATGCGTATAATTTCCTGGCTATACCGTACCGGTGAGTTTGGGGAGATATTTTAGTCGTTGGTGTCAAGGTTTTTTCTGCTGAATTCTTGGCTCTGCGGCTAGTTCCGTGTGCGGTGAAAGTTCAGTGTTCCTCTTAAACTTTGGGAAGTACTGTGGACAATTTGTCAGCACTCAAAGTCTTGCTGGTCTATTTATTAAAATATATATTTTGTCCTTTCCCTCCAATTGTATCCCGGCTGTGCTTGCGGTGTCACGTCATAAGACACGGTATGTATTTGGATATCTCGCGGAGCAGTGGAATCCTGAATGTCGTAGAAGGGCTCAGGGGTGGAAAGTATCCAGGGGCAGAGCCACAGGGGGGGCTGGGGGGGGGCTCAGCCCCCCCTGAAATTTTGGGAAAGTCGGTAATCGGGATAACCGGATATCCGGCTGCTGCAAAATGCTGCAGGCTGCCACCTTGTGCTGCCCTGCAGGCTGCCACCTTGTGCTGCCCTGCAGGCTGCCACCTTGTGCTGCCCTGCAGGCTGCCACCTTGTGCTGCCCTGCAGGCTGCCACCTTGTGCTGCCCTGCAGGCTGCCACCTTGTGTGCTGCCCTGCAGGCTGCTTGAGCGGCAGCCTTTCGAACTCATCGAACTTATTAGCCACATCAGCGGCTCCGATCTATTAATAAACTCCGCGTTCAAATCCAATAAAATGTTTTATACATATGTGGCGCCCATTGCAAAACATAAACTGGATATCTCAGAATATTGAAGTCAGCCCCCCCCCAAAGTC